TCATTCTCACCTGACTGAATTTCTCACATGTTTTGTCAGTTGTTGCTTCTGCTCAACAAAATCCAGTGAAGTAACTCATGCAGATTGCATCAACAGCTCATGGCTCAGAGGCAATGTCCCAAACACAGTAAATATGTCTGTGCAGCAGTTGATAGGCTGGCATGAAGTTTAGGAGGACAGTCTGCTCCTAAACCTGTCCACCTTCTGTCCATGTGCTGACTTGCAGACAGCCTATGAACTGCCAGTATGGGCACTGTGAAAGCTGCATCTGAGAGTGGAGGGGAAGACAAATTGTTTAAATGAACCATTAAAGACAGTTCCTTCAAGATGGGATTGTGGTGCATTGACAGGGTGGTGGCAAGGAAGCATATGTTAAGTGTTACTGTTCTGGTCTGTGGTTAGTGTGGTTGTCATCAAGTTCTGTTTTATCTTAACTTTTCTGAGATGCCAGTAAGCAATAATATCCAACTTCTTTGCTGTCACTGGATTCACACCCACACCAACTTCACTGCCACTCTAAAACACCACAGTCTCAATTAAAATATGTTTCTGTAAGAGCTCAGTGATTTTAAAAAAAAGTACCTTCCCTAAAAATGAGATGTCATAGCTTGTTTCTAGCATTAAGTGAAGTTTTCAATTTGATTGGTACATAAGCATAGGAAGAAAACAAAATTCAGATTCAGTCTTATGTGAATACTTCATTATTTGAAGCTGTTGTGGTCTGGAGAGATAAGCACAGAGAGTGCAGGTAATGAAAACAAATTTTATAAATATCATTGCAGCTGAAACATATTGTCATCACAATCTCGTTGATTCAGTATGTGTTTAAACTGTTGGGCAAACTCCTTGCTGACTTACAATTGGAGTTTTGAGGTTTGCAGATGGTGTGAATCAGAGACTGCAACCAGTATTTTTATAGACCTTTAGTTTTATTAGGTGGAAAACACCCACAAATACACTTCTAGTACACTTCTATTAACAGGAAGAAGCATAGCTAGGGCAGTGGCAGAACAAACTTCCTGCAATGATTTGCAATGTGGATTCACAGGGAAAATTCCTAAAGGAAGAAGATAGTGCAATATCCATTGTCCAGTCAACCTCAGCCTTTTTCTGCAGTAATTTTAAAAATTATTGCTAAACATAATGTACCCTTTTATTTTTTTCTGATATAGATTTGCAAGTAAACAGATAACTTGGTGGTTTAGGTTTTTGAGTTTCTAAATAAATTCAGATGGTCCTTATTCTCTGTCTATGAAGTCAATGTACAACATTACTGTTTACTAATAGAAATAAATTTCTCCTCTGTGTAAGATCAGTCCCTGGCACGTTTCCAAAATGCTGAGTGCTTAGCTATTTGTTCAACTTTATGACTAGAGGTTAGTCATTTTTCTTTGGTACACTCTGCTTACACTGTGTTGCCTTTCAAGAGATGGGGTTGCTGATATCCATGTGCGTGTATGTTTTGCAGTCTTAATTGTCGCCCTGGATCAAATTAGGTTGGATAACTTAAAGGATATTGAACACTTTATAAAATACATTCATTTGCAAAGGTGAAATCATGACAATTCATGTGGTTCATGGAGTGCCCTGACTGGGATCTGTTACATTGTTTGCCTCGAAATGAACTGCTCTGTCAAGATGCTGGTAAGTGTGGCAGTTTCTGAGGTGAAACAGATCCTGAGCGTGTCCAGGTGCTGTCCCAGAGCATTCAGCAGACGATGATGTATGGGAAGCAGTAGCTGTACTTCATCCAGCTGAAATGTGAACAGGCAGCAGCTCGTTTCTCTCGTCTGTGGTCAGAACAGTGCACCTCCCGTGAAAGCATTGGGAAACACTTAATGGAGGCAAGTGGTTTGTTATTTTTGGATGGAAAAATGGCAACTCCAGCCACACAGCGTCCTAGGGCATTGAACGGCTACAGAGAGTGAGTTATAATTGAAAGAGGAAGACATTTCCTAATTAATTATGTAAACCCCACAGCAGTACAGCTCAGCCCAGCCGTATTTTCAGTAATATGATATGATTTGTTGCACAAAGTGTATTGTGAGCAGCCAAAAATCATAAGAAGCTACAGCTTTGTTTCCGTTGTTTCTCAGTTGTGGTTTTTGAATTAGGACACCCAACATTGTGAGATTTAAACCAAACCAAAACAACACAAAACCAAAAACCCACCCAAGCAAGCAACCAACTAAAAAAAACAGGAAAAAACATGCCCCCAAAACACTTTGGGAGTTTTTATTCCCTCTAATAGTAAGCCTGCCTAATGTTACACTTTCAAGCTTTTCACTCTAACTGAGAAATAAGAAATAGGAAATAAGAATATATTTGTTCATAATTTAAATTAATGTCATCACTAAATTTCTATTTCTGGAGATTTAACAGCATAAGACCTATTATGGAACTTCTTTGAAGTAAAATGATAAGAATTGAGGAGGATCTATTTTTTTCAGCTCTCTTTCCGGAAAGACACCGAAACTTTTATTGAAGAAACTTTCCTCAAATCATATGTGCTTGATACCAGACCTCAACCTCTCTTGGGTGTAGCAGGAATGTCTCTTAACATTGTCATAATTTGCAGACATCTCAAAAGGTTATAGGATTATTGTATTTGCACTTACTTGTTCCATGAAAACGATGTGCTTACTACCTGTCAGATCTGTGGCAAGGCACTTAGATACAATGGAAGGCTAAGAGAAATTGTGTACCAGCAAATAAAGAGTAGGATTTGGGCCAGAGAGTTGAGTGTGTTGGTCAAATAAATAAATAAATAACATGACATAACATAAATAAATAAAGAAAAAAAAATAGGAAATCTAAATGTGTAGTATATTTGAGACTACCGTCTTTTTCCAAACTGTCATTTAGGATTTCTTCAAGACTTACCTGCATTAGTTAAAGCTAGCTCAACAGAGCCCTGCCTTAACAGCTTTGTCTTTCAGAGCAGCCAAGTGAGGCTTTGCTGAACTTCTTGGAAGGGGTCTATCTTATGATTTCAGTATTCATGTTCCCCATGTTGTTGTCTCAGACAGTCTTTCCTCACAGCATGAGTTGGATCTTGTACTGGCTGACATTTCATGATAATTTCAAACTCCTGGCTGCTGTTACTGACTACCAGAAGGAAGATTCATCTCCACATTTACAATGGAAAAAAAAGCTGTAACCACTGTACATTAATAAAAATAGCTGCCACTCAAAGCTCATGACAGTTTTCTTTCTTAAAGTTACATCTGTAAGTACCAGTGCAGTGGAGTAAAGAGAATTTAAGGGAATCCTAAAGTAAATCAGTGGCATAGCCATGAGAGACAGCTGTCTTACCTGTTACAGGGCCATCCTTCCCCCTTTCTGTCAGTGCTGTCAGTGCTGATGTTGATATCCAGTTACAGAGGTACCCAATTACATTTGTGTCCAACTTGCATGGTCTAACCCCTTAGCAGTTGGTCCAGCTTAAGACCGTGAAGCCCTGTTCAAGAAGTGTTAAATATAGAGGTGTCGTGAGCCTTATCCTTCCCAAATGCACTCCAAGCCTCTAACAGCTTGTTATTTGCTGTTTTACCATTGCAGACCTAATTCCTAGCTCGCAGAGCTGCTGCATCCATGGGGAGAAATGCTTCACTTATAATCGTGTTTTATAGTTCCCTTTGTGGTTTGTTCTGCCGCTTTGACTTGTCATAGTTGAATAAATTGAATTCTGTAGAGTGCTCTTGTAAAATGCCACACTTTTGATTTTTAAATGTGCTTCAGTGTGATGAATGCAGCGTTAGAGTGGGATGTGGAGTAGTGCTTAAATTTGTGGATTGTAGCTCTAGGTTTTATTCTCAAACCTCTAGCCAGATTATTATATAATTCACGGATAGGCCATTTTCAGGATTTCTGCTCCTGCGTTCTGTATCTGTAAAATGAATGTGATTTACCTGTGCAGCAGGTCTGTGTTGACACCCAGTTGGTTCTTTTTTGAACAGCGAGGCAGCAGGCTGCTATGGCATGTCACAGAATGCCTGTTGCACTCATATACTAATTACCCAAGTGCTGCCTTGTACTTACATCATCTTTTTGTTGAGAACCGAGACTTTGGGTTGTAAATTATCTAAAAAGGACTCACTGTTTTAACATCTGCTTATGTGGTGCCTGTCATAGCGAGCTTTCCTTCCTTGGGTGAAGCAAGAAAGAAGAAGAAGAAAAGGTGTCACTAGAATACAAACATAAAGCTAAGAATGTACTTTGAGATCTTTCAGTGAAATATGATGAGGATTACTACAGCTGTTTTTTTTCCAAGAAAACACTTTCAAACATTATTATTTTTATAGGCACTTTTATCTGCCCTGCTTTAAAAGGGCAGTAATTGCAAGTGTGTCTCAATCCATCTCTTAATGGAGGAAACTGAAGGACTTGAGCAAAAAAATCTCTTCATTAATGAGGTCTGAAGTAAGGTTCTAAAACCTGCCAGAATTTAGGAAGGACATGTTTGCTCTAGAAGGGTTACCATTTGAGGAGTTTGTCTGTTAATGTATAGCAGCTTCATAACAGTAAAGCTGATACTAATTCAGAATTAATATGTGAAGTAGGTTTAATAGCTAATAAAAATGGGCTGTTTATGTATTAAACCTGGAGCAGCATAGCTGATCCACCTCTGTGTTTTGGGTAGCTAATGACTTTCTCCTTCGGATTTGGAGAGGTATTTGTTTGTGAAATAGTTTTATGGAAATTTGAGAAAAGAATTCTAGCTGATATGAGGGAAGAAATATGGAAAGTAACAACCCTGAAAAGGCTATAGGTATGATTCTACAGAGTGACAGATTAATGAGGTCTAGGTTTCATATGTAGGAGTATCCCATGTCTTGTTTTAACTACTTAGTTCTGAAGGGAGTGTGTTGGAGAAGCTATTTTTTCTGGAAAGTGAGGAAGGGAGGCAATGCATCTACCTAATCTCTAAAGGAAAATAAGCGTTTGAATGAGCATTCATTACAGTATTTGAAAAAATAAAATAAAATAATGTTTTTCAGATAATTGCCTTTGATGAACTTCGGACAGACTTCAAGAGCCCAGTCGATCAGTGCAACCCAGCCCACGCAGTGAGTACAACCAGTGGTTTGCTGAGCAGTGCCTGCTCAGGAAAGGGGGATGCACCGAGCTGTCAGGGAAGGATGAGGGAAATTAAGATAGAGTCTCTTTGTGAAGTCAAGTGTGGTTTGGAAAATTGATTTACTGGGCCTGTCTTGGGAAGCCAGATGGTGACTTTTTATGCTAATAGCCTGCCTTTTTGCTGAAGGAGGCAGGAAAATAACTCGGAAATTCAAAAGCTGAGGGATATATAATGTGATGCTAATGCTTTCTTTTTTACCTTTTTATGCTGTGGCACAAGTTTTCCCTTTTGAAATAATTTGCCTTCTCTGTGTTCAAGCATGGGATGACCACGTTTTCCCACACTGTCTGTATCAATGAGCCAAAAGCTTGAGTGGATTTGGTAAGAGGCACATTCATGGACCTCTCTCTCCAATGGGAGGGCTCTAAATGCTCCCATTTTTTAAGAGTAAACATCATATTCTGCTGCTTCTGCTATGGAAAAGTTTAAATATCCCCTGGGACTGTAAACTCACTTTTAACTAATGAACAAAAAATGCAGCCTAGATATTTCAAGAAGTATTTCAAAGTTCCTCTGTTAATTAAAGCTGTAATCTAGAGTGAGTTAGCTGACTACAGCAAAACATGTGTCAGTGTGTACTACCAGCACTGAGACCAGAATCTTACTCCCCATCATCTCACTGGGAATTACAATGATTATGACAGGTGCTGTATTTGATCTCTACAGAGTATCAAGTTATTGAATTGCCTGCAAATGATAACCAGATTCAGTACTTTGCCATTTTACCCTGTTTTCGTAACTCAGCAGAGGATTTGTGGTACTGCTTAGGCCACTGATGATTTTAAGCGTAAACTTTACGTGAATCTTAGAATAAGAAGGCTTTTTTTACAGTTCACTAACACATAATCAAAACATGAGAATAGAAGAAAGAAATTATATCAAGAAATCCTGTAGAGGACTTCAGTGGGTATAATCTGGTTTTTAATTAACTGAAAGTAATCTGATTTTGCATTCACTTTATCTGTTTTTACTTCCCATTTTGGGAACTACATACAAAAAATGTGTATATATTTGTACCAGGTATTTCTTATATATTTGTTCAAGTTCTTCCCTCTGCATAGTTGCTTGTGCCCATATCCCATTTAGTGGGGTAGTTTTCTTTATTGCACTATAAGAGTGTCTGATGTTTACCCATGTATCTTCCACAATGTTTTCATGATGGAGGGTAGAGCCTTTTTGGCAAGAGGGGGCTGAATTAAAGAGAAATCAGAGACAAAACCAAGGGCAGTACTGAGAATTTAATTCAAATTTCCTGGTTTGCCCTCTATTACCTATAGTTCAGAGACAAAATTCCTGCTTCTGGAAGGCCAGCTGTAGTTGGGAATCTATTCAAAGGGAATTGAGAGGTCTATCGTTCCCTCTGCACTCACCTCCTTCGAAAGGCAGGAGAGCTTTCTGCAGCTTCACAGGCACGTCCACACATATCCATTCTCGTGTTTGCAAATGTGAGTCTAACATTTCTGAGTCTCTTTTAGCTCAGAGACACCAAAAAGAGGCACGGTATTTTTCTGGTGCCTATCAAGCTGCCACTGCCTCACTGTCTTTCCAACATGATACTTTTTTTAAAAAATGGCTTAAACTTGGGGGCAGGAAAGCAAAAGACCCATTTCTTTGGAGAATAGAAATAAAACTCAAACTTGTGGCAAATTTAAAGCATTTGAAAAGCAGAAAGCTTAGGGAGAGTTGGCTTCTCACATTGGTATAGTACAAAAAAGTTATTTGTTTGGAATATTTTTTCATGTCTAAGTGAAAATATTATCAAATAGTCTTCTGAGTAGAAGAACCACTCTGCCTTCTGCAGTGTAACCAACAGTAGAATGTTCCAATAACTCCAGTGATGGAGTTATGGGGTAATGAAGTGAAATTTGATTGTACTGGTGAGTTTTGCATTATGAGCCACTTAAAAAAAACCAAACCTGTCTTTGATTTGTTTTCTTTCTGTGAGTTGAGCTTTAAGCATCTTTTGAGTCACAGTGCTTAATTGCAGTGATTTTCAGTATTTATGAATGCATCTGTCGTTTAAAGTGGCATTTCTAGGACAGTTCAAATATTTTTCACTGGAGGGTTAAATTCTAATATCACATGTTGAGGTGCCATCTTGGTGATAGAGGAAGAGATGCCTTATAAACTGCACAGTTGCTTTTGCCATTCAGAATTATCTTGAAGCCAGATGTGGGGTACCTTAAAGTACAAGAGCAAGTCTCTGTGGTATAGACTGGCAAAATAGAGCCACAAAGGCTGACTTAAAAAACATTTGCAGCCTCTGGCTCAAGGCTAACAGACTTGAATCCCCAGCTGATATTGTTATACCCAGTAACAGATGAAAAAATAACTTACTGGGACTTTGAAATGGGTAAATCACTTGGCTTGCTAGCAGTAGGTGAGAAGCGAAGACTGTCATTTCAGATTAACAACATATATTGCTTCACTGCAGCCATTAATTAAAACATTGACCCTTGTAATTGTAATATATTGTCTTAATTTATAACACCAGCTAATCTTCTGCCTTTCCCCCCCCTTTTCCTTGACAGAGAGAGCGGCTGAGAAATATTGAGCGGATTTGCTTCCTCCTGCGAAAGGTGAGCGTAAACTAACCTAGGATTTGTGAAGTTTAGGAGAGTGAAGTCCATCCAGTGGTGATGTGCATTTATTTTCTCTTTGATCCTCTCACTCAGTTGATGAAAGGCTGGATTCTACTGGAAAGTGAAAGTCATGATGACTTTGTAAGGACAGAGTAAGACAAATTATAAAAGGTTGGCATAATAAGGCATGTCTGGATAAGAACTGAACTTCAGAACATCAGCCCATTCATTCCAGGACAAGCTTTTTAAAGGTGGTGAATAATTTTGCAGTTGCAGCTTGACGTTCTTTTTTATAGTCCTATAAAGCTGCTGATACTGTTGTAGTACAGGCTCTAAAAATACCCTTTTTTTGAACAGTGGCTTACTATTTGATAAACTAAACATTTTTATTAGTTACACATTTAGTGTTTAAGGTTTCTAGGCGATGGAATAGAAAAGTTGATATAGTATGTATTTTATCTTGACACAAGTGAGATGCTGAGTGCCTCAGTTTCTGAGGGATTTCAAGGAGCTGATAATTTGTGGGGTACTTATCTGTGGCTTCAAAAACAATTAACAATCTTTGTTCTCCTGACTCTGTCCTATTAAAGTAAAAATAATCATAGTTCTAAACTATTTTATTCTGTAAATTCAAGTTTCTATACACTGTGTTCTGCGGAGTAGTAATGGAGACACCTAAATTATTCTGCATTTTTGCTTAAAAAGGTCATCACTGAAGTGTGGACTGCTGCCTGCATCCTAGTCAAGCTAAGAACTAAATTGGTTTTAAGGTACTTAGAGATTTTAGGAAACCCAGTGGTAGGGATTGGGGTGATCCAAAGGCACAACTGTGACTCCAGGCAGAATCTTTGAGCTGTCATTCCTTAATCAGTCAGAACCTGAGTCATATCTGTTTGGCACCATTATGAGTTTGTGACTGTTAGGAGCCACATTTAAATACTTACTGAGCCTGTTTATGACCCTTGGGATATGAAAATAAGAGAAAATACTTATCACCAATAGCTTTCCATTTTATCAAGCAGGCAGCCAGCCAATTTCAAGCTGTGCCCCAGTTTCTTGGACATAAAGCAACTGTTGAGTGGTAATGTATTAATATATGTGAGCCCCATGGGAATGCCTTGCTTGCATCAGTGTTTAATTTTTATTGAGCCTCAGCCTTCTTGTGGAGAGCAAAATGGAGCATTTTGGCTAATTGCAGACTCTGTATTCATAAGGGACTGCCTTGCTTCTGGTTCACTTAAATAGTTTGTTAATTCAGCCTCTTTTTCAAAGTTCTTTGGGGACAGATTTGTTTTAATTGAGAGATTATACCCAAGAAGAGGAAGGTGCAGTAACTACAGAGATTTGTAGTCTGCAAATCTGACAATCACTAAAAATAGCTGTCGTTTATGTCGTATAGAGGAGTCATTGTTGAGGAAAACTCCGGAAAAACAATAAAGAATTGAGTGCCAGCTATATTGATACATGACAATAGCAGGCTGCTTCCAGCAAGCACTAAATATATCCCTCAATATAACATTGTGTGGCTTCAGGGTCTGTTTCTCTTTCTATGAAACAACAGCATACCTGTTTTCCTATGTCTGGAAGACAGGTAATTCTTTTAAAGGGCTTTGACATCAGAACTTAATTCTTAAGATCTGATGTAAATTTGTTCTTTAAAAGGTTATAGGTGGGCTAAAAAACTATGCTCAATTTCATTATATGCTGGTTTTATGAGGGGTTCTTGGAAATTATTAACTGGGCATACAATATGTCATGTAAATCTGATCCCAGTGGGTAAAGACTTTCTTGAGGATGGATTTTTGGTTTTATCTCCAAAACACTTTAAAAAAGTTTATTGACAAACTGTGACCAGGTATGTGATATTTCACCAGATATTATGTAATTTACTTCCACTTTTCAAAATAGAATGGAGGATGTAACTGTTCTACAGCCAGGCATTTTCTGATGTTTGGTTTGGGGAGAATGTTTCTATATCATTAAAACAAGTAGGGATTGTGTGAAGCAGATGTATATGATGCTGGCCTGTGCACATGCATGCCCACGGGGGTCCTTGTTTTTATGGTGCTATAGAATTAGATAAGCCTAAGTTTTCTGGTTACTGGAGAATGATTATGCATGAAGAAACTATGAACTTTGTGTCACCATGGTCAAATCTCTTCTATTCTGAAATAAATGAGAAGAAGACTTATTTTCTGAATCCAGCCCGAAGTAAAGTTCTCTCAGGATACAGGCATCTCATTTTATTCAGTGGTGTGTGTTGGGGGCTTATCAGCATAGATTTGTGTTCCTGTGCTGTAAATTGTTGAATATTCCATTATGTGGATGTTGGTTGTCTTACAAGTGTTAGATGGTTCACACAGGACACACACTGGTATTAGCAGATGCTGTACAACCTCTGTGCTATTCTTTTTTTTTTTCCTAAATTACCTTTGTTTCTCTCAGGATGTGATTACAATGCTGTACAGAGGTACACAAACTGAAGCAGTGCAGTGTAACAGCAGCACAGGCTTCTTGGGCTCATCAGCCTTGCTGAGGACTGTGATTGGTTTGGTGTGCCTATGAAGTCTACCATGATTTTTAGGATTAAATATTTTGGTGGGGCTGCTAAAATATATTCAGATGATGATGACAGCAATATTATATAATTGTAATTGCAGTTGTATTTCAAGAAATCTATCTACAAGATTGATTCCTGATGGAGATACTTATTTTAGCACTAAGGACAATTAGGAATTTCCTGGATTAAAGCACCATATATTTCATCAATCAACCACTGTAATATTATTACTTTACCTTTGAGGAATTTTAAATTAAAGTTTGATTATGTTATGCATCATAATTTTTGAATTAATTTGATAAATCCTTACTAAGGAGAAGAATTGATTGAACTTGCTTCTTGCTCAGTGAAGACATTGGAGATTTCAGTTTGCTCATGCAAACACTGCTGAACAATATAAGTGATCCTTCTCCAATTATCAGCAAATATTTGTTTTTAAACTCCATTAAGCTAAAGTAAGAGTGATTTTTGAGCATCAGAACTGGAATTAGAACTTAATTGGGAGGAAGTTGACATAAATAAAGGCAGACTTTCACTTATTTTCCTACTGTAGTGGAGCATTTTACTTAAGTTATGCCCAAAATTACTAAAACTGCAAGTGTAAGAAAATATTGTAGTTGAGCTCAGTTCTTTTTCTTGATTTTATTTAGGGATTTTTGCATTTTTTTGTAATCCTGAAGGGATGACTGGAAGAGAGCAGATTCAGCAAGAAATGTAGCCACAGGCAAGGTGACATTAATCTCAAAGATGTTCCAGATGAACTTGAACTGTCTTGAAAAATACAAACAAAATACAGACAAAAAACCCTGCAGGGGCAAAGTTTGAATTACTAAACTTGGCCAGTTCAGCACTCCAGTAGTAGCAGTAGCATAGTAGATACGGGGTCAGGAGCTGGGATGTTTAAAAACATAACAAAACAAGCCAAACCTGAATAACCCTTCACCTAATCTTTTTTGAAGCAAATTTTAATGTATTAGTTAGGAAGCTGGGGGGTGCCAGTGCATGGTTTGGTCTAGTACCTGTGTCACTGTGGTTTGCAGTGGAGCTGGGTCTGCAGTAGTAATGGTGGAAATTTATTTTTTACTCATTCGTTCTGGTGTTTACCAGATTCAATTCTGTCTTTTACTGCTCTGGAAAAATAAAAGGAATGTTTATTTAAAATTTATATTCCATTGTGTATACCCTAATACACGTGACAGTTATGTTTTACTGTATTTACAGGTTTTGGTAAATAACCAAAACCAACGTTACCTGAAAGAGCAATTATAGAAGACATTCCAGTCAGACTGAGATAATGTAAATAAAATGTAAAACCTAGTGAGCATTATATATAATCCCAGACACCTGAGTGTCTGTACAGTTTTGTTTTGGTATGTTTCAATATGAAAATATTCTGTAAAGGAAAAGTGAAAACTACGTGTATGTGTGCAAGTAACAGCGATTCAGAGACGCAAGTAATTAGAAGCTTGAAGAGTTATGGGTTAACACCACAGGTTCAGCTGTAGACAGAGCATTCTAAGGATGAAGATTAGGCTTGATCCTGTGTCTGTATCATGCATGTTTGTCAGCATAGAATGGAAGCCTAGATCTCAAACCTTGGAAGAACCCCCACAATATGTTCAGTGAAATACTACTGAGCTCACTGGATCAGCTAACAGGGAACAAGTTGGCTTTGGCTTTTCCTTAATAGCAGAAGAAAAGAGTGTTATCTGAGTATGGAGTCTCTTTTTCTTTATGTGTAGCTAAATATTATGCAAAATCAGCCCTGTTAAAAAGTAGCCCTATCTTTCCTTTTTTATTCTTATCTGACTTTTTTTTTTCCTACATATTTTGGCTGAAGGAGACTGACCAATGTGCACTAATTGCCATATGAAATAATTGTTTTAACTTGAACCTTGAGAGGTTCCAGACCTTCTCCTACCAGTAGCCCCTACCATTCTCTGCATGCAGCAGGTACAGTGGACATGCTCCTTTGTGGAGTGTCGGGTGTCACAGCAGCTGATTTCAGTTGACTGATCATATTCTTTTCATCTTGATAAATTTGCTTGTTATTATATCACTGTTTTTGTTGTTCTGCCTCACAGTCACTGGCAAGCCTGAGATAAAGTGATGGATTTTAAGTGTCTGTTTTTGGATGTGTCTGTTGATTGCTTCGTCGTGCATTTAGAAATTTATGAACGTGTGACGTTCTTTTACCCAATCTGCAGGCCGATAGTCATTAGCAGAGTACTTCCGTAAGCCTACAGCTTGGTTCATTAAAACACTTAATGTGAGGTTATATAAGCAAATGTAGCAAATGTGATGCACAATCACAAGGAATTTTTAAAGTGTTGTACAGCCATCCATATCGTAAGAAGGAGCCACACTTTCTCCCTGGGGCTAAGAAATCCCGTAGGTGAAAACTACAGCAAGAAGACAATTAGCTTGTTGTGAAGCT